TTGATTGTTTTTTGATTGTTTAATTGATTTGTAAAAGTTGATTCAATAGTAGATGATCGGAAATAAGAATTATGCTTATTTTTGATTGTTTAATTGATTTGTAAAAGATGATTTGTAAAAGTTGATTTGTGTAATTGATGCGAACATAATTCTTATTTGTGCTTGTTTAATTGATTGAAATGTAATGGTTGATTTTGTTGATTTCAATCTGCATTATGTTGAAGGCAAAAATGACTATCGCAATGCGAAATGAAAATCGCAATGCGAAATGAAAATCGCAACGAGAGAATCGCAATGCGCAATGAAAATCGCAATGCGGAATGAAAATCGCAACGAGAGAATCGCAATGCGATTTTAATTTCGCATTGCGATTCTCTCGTTGCTATTTTCATTTCGCATTGCGATTTTCATTTCGCATTGCGATTCTCTCGTTGTGATTTTCATTTCGCATTGCGATTTTCATTTCCGCATTGCGATTCTCTCGTTGCGATTTTCATTTCACATTGCGATTTTCATTTCCGCATTGCGATTTTCATGTTGGGATTTTCATTTCGCATTGCGATTCTCTCGTTGCGATTGTAATTTCCGTGTTGCGATAGTCAAATGCATGACTAATAAGTGATAACAACTGAATAACAAGAGTTGGTTAAGTCAAAATGGTTGGCCTGAGTCATTAATTCAACTGAAAATGTTAAAAGTTCACACATAAAATCCACATAATACAACGTTTGCATTTAAAAATCACCTAAGTTAACAGCCCCAAAAGGTGAAGCCAATTGTGATTGGGATTTTAAAGATGATTGCCTTTTGCTTGACACCATATGAGCTTTGGATTTTGATGAGGATCCATAATTTGGTAGAGGAAAAGATGATTTTGATGGCACTGGTGATCCACATGTCAACCTTGTATGACCACTTTCCTTGCACCGACTACATGTCGATCTCTTCTTCTCTTCACCCTTAGACGGTATACGATCGTGACTTTTGGTCGGCCAGGTAGCCTTCTGTCCATGGCTGGTGGCAAAACTGTTTGTAAGTCATCTGGTATGTCCCACTCAGAAGGATGTGGAATAGGTAGACAATCTCGGCATAAGTCTGTCGATAAACTTCTGTAGTGTAGCAATCCATAGCGTATGCGCTTGAATCATCTTGGTTTAAATGAAGAGCAACTTTATAACATGGCCACACGGATAACCAGATGTTTGCCATTTCATACAATACACGTCTTTGCATTTAGATCGACTAGCCCATTTAAGTTATTATCCAGTACTTGAAACAAAGTGTTTGAACATGGTTCAACTCTTCATGACGTTGACTTCACAACACGTTTCGTTATTTTTTTCAGTCCATGGTGTAACACGATGTTCCAATGTTCCTGTAAATTTAAATAAACAATACTTAGTAAAATATATAAATATGATAAGTTACGAATTCAAAGAAATAATACCTGCATGGTTTCTTTTCTTGTAGTACCACTGTTGAATAGAGGCTCGAAAAAACTCCATTAACATAGTAATGGGTAATTTCCGGGAATGACGACTTAGAGCGTTGATTGATTCTGCACTATTAGACGTCATGAAACCATATCTTGCTCCAAGTTGATGTACTCTTGACCATCTTTCAAACCCGACATCTTCTAGTGTTTGAGCACACTGAGGCAAAACATGTCTTAAACAATTTATATGCTTATTGAAATCCACTTCCCGATAAGCTTTTACAGCCTTCCAGTATGTCCATTTGTGCTTTTTTATACCAGCAGACCTTGATTTTAGATTTCTATACAAATGAACACCACAAAGTCCATGAAAAGCATCTGGGAAACACCTTCTAACAGCGTTGTCAATTGAGTTTGCCCTATCGGATATGATTGTCAGATTGCTAATAGGACCTATGCAATCCCTAAGATGCCCCATAAACCATGTCCATGAATCAGAGGTTTCAGATTTGCCAACCCCGTAAGCTATTGGCAATATCCCATTGTTAGCATTCATGGCTACTGCTAATAAGTTTACTCCAAGGTATCGACCTTTCAAATGTGCTCCGTCAACTATAATAACTGGGCGCATGCAAGTAATAAACGAACGAATCTACAAAATAATATACATAAGAAATATAATCATTTAAATGTGAAATGCATGTAACTAACAAAAATGAGTCAACAAAATTATATTGATTTACTAACCGTAGCACCAATGGCGATAAACAGCAACTCAAAGCGTCCATCTCTATCTTTTTTGATATGAGTTACCGACCCAGGATTTTTCAGCTTTAAATTGTGACAATAAGCCGGCAGTTGGGCAAACGATGCTTCTGGCGACCCTCTCAACAATTCCAAGGCATAACATTTGGCTCTCCAAGCTTGAGAATATGATATACTAATCTTGAACCGAGCATTCATGTCAGTCATAATTTCATGTCCCCGATATACCCTGCCATTCAAAAACATTAACTCAGCCAGAAAACCACCCAACACCTTTTTGTTTGCCTGTCTATGGTGAGGAAAAACTTGGGTTCTTGAACATGTATGTTTATCAATAAAAGTCCTAACTTGAAACATTTCGCAATCTTTTATTCTCTTTGCAATCATACGCCACGTACAGTTTTTGTCAATCATACACCTTGTTTCGAAACGATCTTTGCTTGATTTGTTAACTTTTAGTTGATAGCCATCTTCCACACATTTCGTATACAAAGCTATCTTCAAGTCCTTTGTATCAAAACAATCATCTTTCTTGATACGAATAACTTTTGCGTAACAATCAACTGCTTTCTTTACCAACTCTTCTTCCGGTATCTGAAGTAATTCTGGCATATTCCAGTTATACGCCCGTGGCATTTTCCTTTCTTCGGGGACTTTTCTTCTTCTTTTTCTTCTTCAGGATTATATGAATTACAGAATGGATGTTCAACATGTTCATTCACAGTCGTAACTTCCTCCTCATTATCATCAACAATACATTCTTCGGCAACGGCTGTTTCATCATCAAAATTCGGGTATTGACCAATATCAAATCATTACACGCAGGGTCTGTTTCTTCTTCTGAAACATCATCAAAATCCGTGTATTGACCAATATCAAAGTCCGGATATGACCAAGACCAAATTTCGAATACTGACTAGTACTCACAATTTTTTCTGTTGGCTCATCATCATCTAACTGGTCAATACGAAAACCGGAATTTGGTGCTGAAAGTTGATTGGGATTTGGATTAGAGAAAGGTTGTGGGTTTTGAGAAAAACTTAGTTGATTACTACCCGCTACTGACCCAACAATACTACTTCTAGGTTCAACAACATACAATGTAACATCATCTTGTGAAACACTAATGTAAGCAATGAATCGTTCAACATCTTCATTGTCGGTTAACAAATAAACTTTACCATTTCTCTGATAAGATAGCCTAAATCCACTTAGGGGCTCTAAATTCAATTTATTTGAAACACGTAGCATTAGAGTTTCATAAGTTAACTTTTGTAAAGACAATTTTAGTTGAAGATTCATGGGTAAAGGCATATATTGTAAAACACCATGAACATTATCCCATGACCCTCCAAAACACAAATCTATCCAAACATGATCAACATTAGATGATTTCATGGTTGTAAATTAATTTACTAAACAGACGAGCTGCGAAACTAAAACCTGTTGCCGGATTGGGAAGGATGTCGTTGGATATAGGAACGGATGTCGCCGGAGAGAGTGATAGATGGAGATGGAATGAGTTGCGATTTAGGGATTTAGTTTATGATTTGCTGCTGTTGCGTAGTTATATACCCAAAATTTCAGTGTTGTGATTTACAGATTCTCGTTGCGATTTACGGATTATCGTTGCGATTTACGGATTATCGTTGCGATTTACGGATTATCGTTGCGATTTACGGATTATCGTTGCGATTTACAGATTCTCGTTGCGATTTACGGATTATCGTTGCGATTTACGGATACGCGTTGCGATATACGGATACGCATTGCGATTTACGGATACGCGTTGCGATTTACGGATACACGTTGCGATTTACGGATACGCGTTGCGATTTATGTGTTCGCGTTGCGATTTTCATATTCGCGTTGCGATTCTGTAAAATCGCAATGCGAATTTGTACTATCGCATTGCGATTTTCAAGAATCGCGTTGCGATTTTGGAAACTGATTTGCGATTCTGGGGATCGCGTTGCGATTTTGTTGGTCATTTTGACAAATCCAAAAAAAGTTGGTTAAAATCGTATATTATAAGGCATTTTTGGTCACTGAGGCGATTTTCTCCTTATTTTATTATCCTACATGATATGATCCTTCACTATCAATATATAAAAAGAAACTCATAATAGAGTATTATATGATAATACTATAATTTAAAAATCAGTGGCGGACTCATGTTGCCACACATTTATTCTGAAATTTTTTAAAATTCGAATTTTCATTTAAAAAATTCAAAGTTTATTTCATTAGTATATGTGTTCTTACCTTGAAATTCTATGGTGCACACCTTAAAATTCTATCATATCAAAAAAAAATTATATTATTTATATATTTATACCCATCCTCAAAAAAAAAATTCTACATCTACTACTGTTAAAAATGATCAAAAAAAAGTTCAAAGGAATAAGGTCCATGAATCATGAACCATTCTGGGTGAGGGACCCACATCACCGATTGTATTACTCTGTTATTAATAATATTCATTTTTACTTTTATTTCCAAACGAGTGGCGGGAAATATTTTAGGTTACACTTGTTTCTACGCTACCATGATTCTCGCGTTACCATCAGACTCACATCAAATCAATTTAAATTCGAGCCATTAAAACAGTTTGGAGTATGCTATTTTGCATATAATAAGAACCAAGCATACAATACTCTTTTCTTTCTTTTACCTATTATGGTTTTTTCACATGGGGAATCAAATGTTTACGAGTTCCAAGAATTGGGATTTCTTTACCCAAAACAATGATCTTAAAGATCAATAACTTGGCAGACTATTTATTTCTTTTTCTTCTTTGTTTTTTTTCCTTTTTGGTAACTTTCTTACACTTGACAAAGGCTCTACCTATTCATGATACTAAAACACAATTTTTCAAGAGGTATCCTCAATGGCTTTACTTTAAAGAGGATTGAATCCACCCTATTTCTAGGATTGGGGAAGTATGCCGATCCCCCACTTCGAATGAGCCGACACTTTCCCCGACTCCTGGCTCTAACTTTCTTTGCACCTTAAAAAGAAAACTGGCTGCCTCGGTCTCTGACCAAGGAAACGGCTAATTGAGTACTTATTACATCAAACACTGTGTACCTTATCATTCTATAATTTGATTTTTTGAGTTTTGCCTTTCCATGTACAGATGTTGAAGTCGCAGTTGACGGGACATGAGCTGTGCGAATGACGGTCGTAGATGTGGCTCCCTGGAAAAGAAATTAGAAACAAGGAAGGATCAATGCAAAAAAAAAAAAGATTACAGACCATAAAGAACAGCGAGCTCATTGGTATCGTTGATGTTGGTACGATACACGGAAATCACGAGCAATGACTAAATTATACAAGCTGACTAAGAATGCTATCGAGAGTTTCGTTAAAGTTTACAACATGCAAAAGACTGCCATCTTTGCAGATGCTTATAGGAGTGCCCAAGAAACTCGAGATCAATTTAACATTCAAAAGAAATTAGTTGAACTGTTGAAGCAAAGATCGGACGAAATGATATTATAATCATTCTCATTATATAGGAAAAAATGCGACATAAATAGCATCTAGAACTCACGTTTGCCAACAATCACGAATGATCTGTGCAGCCACCCGATCAATGTCTTCAGGGATTTCTAGACGTCTATTTTGGAATCCAACAGCTCCGACAACTTGCATTGGATTCAAACCTTTCCAGGGAATGCGTAAAGTAGCCAATTCCCATAATATCACACCGAAACTGTACACATCACATCTGCAACCAAATCAGTCTGTTTGTATAAGAAACAGAATAGATATGTCAGAGTAAAAACATGCTATTTTACTGTTAAACTGACATACTTCTCATTAGCCGGCTCATTCCTTAGTAGTTCCGGTGCCATCCATTCAGGCTGCAGTTCAACGAAAGGATTTTACTTCAAGAAAAGGATATGATGGATTTGGATAAACAGGAAAGTAAGACAAACAAAAAGTGAAGATGGAGGATTATCTTTTAGTAATATTACCGTTCCAGCAGTAGACTTTGAGGATAGGAAAGTATGATGCTTCATGCGTGACAACCCAAAATCACAGACCTAAACAGAGAAGCAAATCAGGAAAAAAGAATGTGAAAGGCATTTTTCAGTAGAGAATGCAGCAACCTGTTAAAGTTGCTTAAATAAACTACGAGCAAAATCAAGACGTTTGGAAGGAAATTAGTTCTGAGATACGCACCTTTACGACCCAGTTCTTATCAACAAGGAGGTTTGGTGTTTTCAAATCTCGATGCACTATAGTAGGATTGCTTGTGTGCAAATAATCCATACCTTTTGCCTACAAACAATGAAAATGGTCCATCAACTATTTGAAAACAAACATGCAGGGAGAAAAGTGAAAGGAAAGGGGCGAGTTGAGAAAGGTTAGTGCATGAAAAGAAGCAAAAGAAATGAAAGTAATTTATTCACTTGTGGTTACTACCACATCAATAGCCATTCGCATTCTTCTTTTCTCGTCGAGTTGAGGATTGGATCGATGCAGAAGCTTATTCAAACTTCCCCTGCATAACAAGGGAGGGGCAAGAAGAAATTAAGACAGGATGACCAACCTTGTCATTTTAAATTAATCCATTTCTCGATACAAACCAGATCAACACTAGAGAGGTTCAGAATTTTATCTGAATAAAAATGAAAACTCAGAAGAGAATGATTCATCATCTTCATACACAGCAAAGCACAAGATGCAAGCACCGAGTACCTTACATTGTGGTACATGTATCAAAAACATAAGGAAAAACCATGGACAACATTCTGATCGGGACAGAGCTATGTTGCTCGGACTCTTCATTTTTTATTAAGTACCCGTGCCCAATACTCATGTCCGACACTTGGATATAGGGTATGACCTCCAAGGATCCTTCAAGCAGAGAGACTTGGAAAAATCAAGCTATACCCGTCTGTCACTTACACCCGAGTCCGAGCAACATAGGGACAAAGTACAAGATTAAGATTAGTTTCAGCCTTCATTCTTTAAAACTAGAAGGAAACCAACACGAAGTTCAAAATGGCCGTCACACAGCCCATAACAAATAAAAAATAACGTGCAGACAGGGTTCATTCTCTGATTGTTAAAGATAAAGAGTAAAAATATAACTATTTGGACTGTATAAAGAAAATCAACCTGGGGAGAAACTCTGTCAATATAGAGAAATTAGGAGAACGAGTAACAGCTCCCATGAAAAGAACAACATTTGGATGCCTCAACCTTAGCATGATTTCAACCTGCACAGGGTAATCAAACACCGATGATCAATAAAGTCATTCAGCTATACATAAAAGTTGAGCCGACAAACATGAGAAGAAATAAACATATATAAGAAGTAACTTTCTGGGCTCACTTCACATTTAAACTGAACTAATGCATCACCAGAGAAGTCTTGATCTAGAAACTTCTTCACAGCAACCTCCTGAAGAGAAAACAAAGACAATTAGACAAACCCCAAAATGTAAAAACCATTAGAAGACATTAAAGAGAGGTTTCGAACAACCCATATAGTTTAATCAATCAATAAAAGAATTATTTAATAGAAATTGCTGCTGATCTCTTCGTAGACTTGCCACAGCAGTTGGAGATTTTGTTAGATTTTACTAACTTCACACCACATATTACCAGAATTACTCAATCACATTGATCTAATCTTTTTTCCTGCTACAGAACTTGGCATAAACAATGCCAATGTCACGACCAGGGATTTAAATAACGTTCGCGGCCGTGTTTTCGATCTCGTTTATCGCGATTGAGGACATAACAGATGTTATTGCGGTCACTGTAGGTGTCGCGTTGTGAATATTTTTAAATTTCGCATAACTTATCCTAATACATAATAATTATAATTATAATTATAATTATAAAATCTCATTTTTAATAATTTTTATAATGTTTTCTAAGCGAAAATGACATATATATTATATAGTTTAATCAAATAGAAAACTTTAGAAACTCAGTGATAGAATAAGATTACTAAATCAAATAGAATTAAAATAAAATTATAAAATTTAAATTGCAGAAATTTAGATTACTAAAATTATGACTAAATTAAATAAAAACTAAAATTTACATTCTAAACTAAAGATTAAATTATAAATTTTAAAAGATGGGACTAAATTATAGATTTTAAAAGATTGGAGGGAGTGATGGCAAATAAACAAACTATTTAATTTTTTAATTGATTTTAAAAATTTTAAAAATAAAAATAGGAGGGTGAGAGTGGGACGGGCAAAAAATATTAGTTCGCATGAATTCCTTGGAATTAGGGGGAATTGAAATCTAATTCCACCACTTTCTCATGTTTGGTTCAAGTTTTCCAAGTTATTGGAATCCCTCGTGGCTTCAACTTTCCATCAAATGAGGGAAAGTAAATTTCATCCATTCTATGATGAAATTCAATTCCTTTGTTGAAGGGAATTGAAATTTGATCATACTACCCTCATCAATCTTTTGGTAACTTATTCATATATTGAATAAAAATATTTTTTTTATTTCGGGTCGGTTTCTAATTCATATATTCGGGTCGGGTCGGGTGAAACTTTATTTTGGTCGGGTCGGTTTTTTAAGTGTGATGTTCGGGTCGGGTCGAGTTCGGGTTTAAGGTGAAAAACACCCGACCCGAAAATATATATAATTTTACCTTATATATTTAGGAATAATTACAATAATACCTCTCTATATATAATTTTTTTCAATTAAGTCATTGTTTTTATTGAATAAAAATAATTTTTTTATTATTTCGGGTCGGGTCGGGTTTCTAATTCATATATTAAGGTCGAGTCGAGTAAAACTTTATTTTGGTTGGGTCGAGTCTCGGATGGAGGTTCCCTTGTTCTCGGGTCGGGTCAAGTAAACCAAAAACCCGACCCATGGCCATCCCTAATTGAAATGATTTTAACTTATGATGTTTATTAACATGATTTTTATAATTTATTGAAATGAATAATCAATTAATAAAATTAAAATTTAATTTTTTTTAAATTTTTATAATATATTACTACATGTAATTTATAAAACAAACTAAAATTAAACAAAAAAAAACAAGAAGGACAATTATGTCATTTTACATTACTGAAATCAAATTCATCTCACATGTAGGGGTGTAAACAAGCCGAGTCGAGCTCGAGTATCGCAAAGCTCGACTCGAACTCGAAAACTTTAAATGTAAGCTCGACTAGACTCGAAAACTCGCGAGCCTAAAATTTTCAAACTCGACTCGAACTCGAAAGATAATATTGAAACTCGACTCGAACTCGAATATGCTCAAACTCAAAAAAAGAAATTCAGGAGCTCGATTGAAGCTCGAGACTCGAGCTCGATTGAAGCTCGAGACTCGAGCTCGATTGAAGCTCGAGACTCGAGCTCGATTGAAGCTCGATTCAAGCTCAAACTCGAACTCAAACTCGATTCAAGCTCGAACTCAAACTCGAAGTTGAACCTACAAAAATCTTATATTGCATTTAAAATATATAAATAATTTTCCCTTTAATCAACCATCACCAATACATTATAATATGAATGTATGAACTATAAAAAATATAAAAAATAAAAATACAATTACAAGAAACTTAAGATAATTAATATATGGTGCAAATCCACTAGGAGGAAGCCCGAGACAGTACACTACCCACGTGAACCCACCGAGGAAGACCCATGCTGGTCAGCCATCCACCGAAACCAATGTTGCTGTCGCCCATACTGGCCATGCTCGAATCCATGCCCTGCAGACACACAAAACAAGGGACAGAGCACCAAGCACAACAAGGGACAGAGCCTGCAAATGCTGGCCATGCTCGAATCCATGCCATTACACGTCATTTAGAAACAACCTGTTAAAAAAAGACTAATAGGTATAATAGAAAACGAGTTAGTTTTGTTTGTCTGGACTCTGGAACAAGTGGGTTGTCGGGGTTAGGATCAGTCAGTAAGGAGCAGATTGAGAGCAAAACCTGTTTTTCACCAGTGTTAGTTTTGTTGACAATGTTTATACATTGTACTATTTTAACCATGATATTAGCAGGAGTAAGGACAGACCTTGGAAATGGTCAGTGCAGGGCTCCATTGTAGGATATCAAGACAAATGCTCTCGTTGCTGTTGATGTTTGGATGGAAGACCTTGGTTCTAAATGCAACCTATACAACAAAACAACGTTGTCCATGAAAAGAGTGTGTAGAGTATCATACGAACAATCATCAACACTAGAGTAAAACATCGCGGGTGAAGTAAATTACCTTAGGAGGCTTGAAAGGGTAGTCCGGAGGAAAATGAATCATAACTAAAAATACACCTCCAGCATAAGGGTTATCGGAAGGGCCCACAATTGTTGCTTGCCAATGAAACATGTCTTGAGCTACAGGACCTATTACAAAAAAAAAGCATCCAAAGGTTACCTAAATGTCATCCATTGATGCACAAGTCAAAGTTCAGATAATAATAATGAACAGTCTGAATCGGATCAAGCAATTCTAGTATAGGAACCGAAAAGCTTGTCGATTAAATCAAAATCAAGTTGGAAGGCAAACAGACTACATGAAGATCAAGGCCTAAGGAAGGGATTTGCTCATTTTTCATAATGAAAACCTTCATTTTCAACAATAAGCAGCCCTAACGTATATAAGGGTAAACGAGCTAAAGCAAATACAAGGAGTCAAGTTTGGAGCTTTGGGGTTTTAAATTTTTAATCGATTTTATTCATAAGCTAAAACTAAGTACGCAGTTAAAAACAATGAAAAAGGTAGGGTAAGCAACATAAACAATGAGATCAAAGTATGGTATTGTTGGTAAAGATATATTGACGTTAGGCGGTAGAAGATGAAATGTTACCAGCACTACAAGAAGTGGGTGGATCTTTCTACAAATCCTTGAGTTCCTTCAAAATCCGCTTTGAAGCAATGACGCTCGAACAGAAAAGAATGCAACAGAATAGAGGACAAGACAAAAATTCTTTCTAGATGGACAGGAGCCAGGAGAGAAAAAAAAGAAATGAAAAGAAAGCTAAAAATATAGAAGGGAAGAACAAGTTAGAAAAGTATAAAGCTTTGAATTCAAGGATCAAACTTTGAAGGCAGAGAGATCTCTATCCTCTTCTTCACCCTCAAATCCCTTGACTTTGCACTTGAAGCTTCAAACTAAGACACACAGAGAGAGCAATTTTGCTATTAGGGCTGTGCGGCTATGTTTGGTATTTTGTGTGCGTGAGTTTAGTTTAGGTTTAGTTAAATTTAGGTTTCATATTAATTTTTTGGTAAATTAAGTTATAGTCCCCCAAACTTGAGCACGCTTTTGTAAATCCTTAATTTAATTCTTGATTTGTATGTTGAATTTTACGTTTATTTAAATTTAGTCATTAGTTTAATATGTATATGCATGTTTAATAAATTTATAGTTTGGTATGTTATATTTTAATTTTTGTATTTCAATCACATTTGTTTAAATTTTCTTATTTGTTTTAAATGTTCAGGTGTCATTTATGTTATTTTTCATTTTATTTTAGCTTAAACCGAATAGTATCAATTGCATATAAGACCCTATAGTTTATGCGCATTTTGTATTTAAGTCATTGGTTTAATTCCAATTTTGTAAGTTCAATTTTACATTTACGTGAATTTAATCATCATTCTAAAGTTAGTATATTTAGCTTAAATTAGTCCTCACGTTTAGGTTTCTCTTAATTTAGTCTCTGTTTAGGATTGTTTTCTTTAATTAGTTGTGTATATTTATTTTGCATGTTGATATATTTATGTATAAGTATGCTAATGATTTATTTAGGAGTCACATAACATCATTTTACATAATTTGTATGTGACTTTCATGTGCATAACTTAACTCCTATCATATAATCGGGTATAGGGATTAAGGTTTAGGGTTTAAGGCTTGTAGTTTAGGGTTTAGGATTTATGAAATAGATTTTAGGGTTCATTACAAAGACATTAATTAATCGACTTAATATCGATTTATGAGGTAAGTACAATTTAGGGTTTAGGGTTTAGACTTTATGATTTATGTTTTAGGGTTTAGGGTTCATTATAAAAGATATTAATTAAAATTTGAGGGTAGTTGTATTATATAATTTTTAATATATTTTTAAAATGTTATAATTATCAATAGTGTATTTTTAATAATGTAATTTTAAAAAATCTAAAATTATAATATAATATTTTTTCGAGCTGCTCACGAGCTTTTCGAGTCGAGTATCGAGTAGCTCGTTTCGGCTCGTTAAAAACTCGAGTCGAGCTCGAGTCGAGTTCATTCGATCCGAGTATTTTTTCGAGCCTTGATCGAGTCGATCTCGAGTAGCTCACGATCTGTCTCGTCTCATTTACAACCCTACTCACATGTCTGCGAACCAAACAGAATATGGAATTGGATTCCAATTCAATTCCTGCCAACCAAACAGAATATGGAATTGGATTTCAATTCCTGACATGTGAATAAAAATGAAAACTCAGAAGAGAATGATTCATCATCTTCATACACAGCAAAGCACAAGATGCAAGCACCAAGTACCTTACATTGTGGTACATGTATCAAAAACATAAGGAAAAACCATGGACAACATTCTGATCGGGACAGAGCTATGTTGCTCGGACTCTTCATTTTTTATTAAGTACCCGTGCCCAATACTCAAGTCCGACACTTGGATATAGGGTATGACCTCCAAGGATCCTTCAAGCAGAGAGACTTGGAAAAATCAAGCTATACCCGTCTGTCACTTACACCCGAGTCCGAGCAACATAGGGACAAAGTACAAGATTAAGATTAGTTTCAGCCTTCATTCTTTAAAACTAGAAGGAAACCAACACGAAGTTCAAAATGGCCGTCACACAGCCCATAACAAATAAAAAAATAACGTGCAGACAGGGTTCATTCTCTGATTGTTAAAGATAAAGAGTAAAAATATAACTATTTGGACTGTATAAAGAAAATCAACCTGGGGAGAAACTCTGTCAATATAGAGAAATTAGGAGAACGAGTAACAGCTCCCATGAAAAGAACAACATTTGTATGCCTCAACCTTAGCATGATTTCAACCTGCACAGGGTAATCAAACACCGATGATCAATAAAGTCATTCAGCTATACATAAAAGTTGAGCCGACAAACATGAGAAGAAATAAACATATATAAGAAGTAACTTTCTGGGCTCACTTCACATTTAAACTGAACTAATGCATCACCAGGGAAGTCTTGATCTAGAAACTTCTTCACAGCAACCTCCTGAAGAGAAAACAAAGACAATTAGACAAACCCCAAAATGTAAAAACCATTAGAAGACATTAAAGAGAGGTTTCGAACAACCCATATAGTTTAATCAATCAATAAAAGAATTATTTAATAGAAATTGCTGCTGATCTCTTCGTAGACTTGCCACAGCAGTTGGAGATTTTGTTAGATTTTACTAACTTCACACCACATATTACCAGAATTACTCAATCACATTGATCTAATCTTTTTTTCCTGCTACAGAACTTGGCATAAACAATGCCAATGTCACGACCAGGGATTTAAATAACGTTCGCGGCCGTGTTTTCGGTCTCGTTTATCGCGATTGAGGACATAACATATGTTATTGCGGTCACTGTGGGTGTCGCGTTGTGAATATTTTTAAATTTCGCACAACTTATCCTAATACATAATAATTATAATTATAATTATAAAATCTCATTTTTAATAATTTTTATAATATTTTCTAAGCGAAAATGACATATATATTATATAGTTTAATCAAATAGAAAACTTTAGAAACTCAGTGATAGAATAAAATTACTAAATCAAATAGAATTAAAATAAAAGTATAAAATTTAAATTGCAGAAATTTAGATTACTAAAATTATGACTAAATTAAATAAAAACTAAAATTTACATTCTAAACTAAAGATTAAATTATAAATTTTAAAAGATGGGACTAAATTATAGATTTTAAAAGATTGGAGGGAGTGATGGCAAATAAACAAACTATTTAATTTTTTAATTGATTTTAAAAAATTTAAAAATAAAAATAGGAGGGTGAGAGTGGGACGGGCAAAAAATATTAAGGCTCTTGGAGTGGAAAACTCCAAACCTTTCTTCTTTTATTCTCTCAACACTCAATTCTCTCAACTCTTGACTCCCAAATTTTAAGGTGATGTTTGGTTCGCATGAATTCCTTGGAATTAGGGGGAATTGAAATCCAATTCCACCACTTTCTCATATTTAGTTCAAGTTTTTCAAGGGAATTGGAATCCCTCATGGCTTCAACTTTCCATCAAATGAGGGAAAGTGAATTTCATCCATTATATGATGAAATTCAATTCCTTTGTTGAAGGGAATTGAAATTTGATCATACAACCCTCATCAATCTTTTGGTAACTTATTCGTATATTGAATAAAAATATTTTTTATTTCGGGTCGGGTTTCTAATTCATATATTCGGGTCGGGTCGGGTCGGTTTTTTTAAGTGTAATGTTCGGGTCGGGTCGAGTTCGGGTTTAAGGTGAAAAATACCCAACCCAAAAATATATATAATTTTACCTTATATATTTAGGAATAATTACAATAATACCTCTCTATATATAATTTTTTTCAATTAAGTCATTATTTTTATTGAATAAAAATAATTTTTTTATTATTTTGGGTCGGGTCAGGTTTCTAATTCATATATTAAGGTCGGGTCGAGTAAAACTTTATTTTGGTCAGGTCGGGTTTCGGATGGAGGTTCCCTTGTTCTCAGGTCGAGTCGGGTAGACCAAAAACCCGACCCAACCCGACCCATGGCCATCCCTAATTGAGATGATTTTAACTTATGATGTTTATTAACATGATTTTTATAATTTATTGAAATGAATAATCAATCAATAAAATTAAAATTTATTTTTTTTTAAATTTTTATAATATATTGCAACATGTAATTTATAAAACAAACTAAAATTAAGCAAAAAAAAACAAGAAGGACAATCCTATCAATTTACATTACTGAAATCAAATTCATCTCACATGTCTGCGAACCAAACAGAATATGGAATTGGATTCCAATTCAATTCCTGCCAACCAAACAGAATATGGAATTGGATTTCAATTCCTGACAGATTCTAATTCCTTCACAGATTCCAATTCCCTCAGAAATATTCCAGCGAACCAAACGCCACCTAAGGCTCTTAATTTTTTACCTTCGATGAAAGTCTGTTCTGTTACTCCTCTTCTTCACCGACGGTAAAGCATAACCGACGTAAGATTTTCTTCCAAAATAACTTTGTTTTGCCAATTTGTCTCCTCTCCGTTTTAATCATTGTCTCTTTGGTGAGCCTTGATTTTTAAACTCTTGATAATCAATATGCTCTCTCTCTTGATTTTTTGGGTGTGAAATTAGGTTTTCTTAATTTTTTGGCAGTAACAGTGGAATAACGTTAATAGCGTCCTGTTATCGACGCTATCCACCTTTACCCGTTAGATTGTGGACTCGATGGACCGCTATCGACGGGAATCTACTACCCAACTTGAAATTCGTTAATATCAGTTTTGGACGGTGGCGTTACCGCGAAATAACGGCCGCTATAACGTTTGCGTTCCGCTATTTGAATCCCTTCACGACTCGGTGAAAGATTAATAAACCTAGGAAATTTTGGCATGTAGCAGTAGCACTGTTATTGTGGTAACTGTGACATCTAGTAGTATGTTATTCCTTAAAGTTCCATGAAATGAAATGTAGAAGCAAATGTAACTCACAGTGCCATTCCAATCTGCTCGGTAGACCTCACCATATGATCCTGCAAGGCAAATGTTCACTTATTATGGAAATATGGACTGGTAGAGAACAATCAAGTCATGTTCAAGCAACTCAGTCAAAAAAAGAGGTCATGTTCAAGCAACTACTACATTCTATGATTGTAGATATAATTAAATATGAATATAAAAAAGAATTCAAACTGAGATAGCTCCTATTCTTAAATCAACAGAACCAAAAAACTGGCATAACCTATTTCACAAACAACATTTGCAGATATCTAGAAGACTTGCACAATCCTGCGCAGATAGTGTGAACTATACCGGATTGACCTCTAGAGGTGTGGTAAACCGAATGTCAGTTTAGGCAGAGATATAATATACTGATAAATGATAGATTAATCTGAGATTGGAGAGTAGGATGCACAGTCAAACAATTAATAGATTTTTGGCTGATTAGATTCAGATTTTCATATTGTACGTCCAACCACTATAAACAGAAAAACCAGGACATCCTACCAGAACTTCTTTAATTGGGTTACAAGCTGTATCACGTTAATAATTGAAATATGCTACCCAGAACTAAAAAGAACAATGGAAATTGGCGCGACAGACATGTATTAAAAGGAAAAATACTTATTGTGCTGTTATGAAACCTTACCAATACCAATGCGATCACCAATTTGAAGATTCTCCCATGGAATTTCCCATTCCGAAACTTCTCTTAGTATAGGGTAAATCTTCTCACTGCGACCATTGCTACCCAGATGCAAATCACTATCTGTGCTTTCAATCATTTCCAATGCAGATTCTTCATTGAAACCAGTACCAAAAGTCCTTTGTATTAGTTTCTCATCCATGGCCAAGACATTTTCTGGCTGTATTTGGAAAAACCCATTAGTAAAGAAGGAAGACTTACGAACTTGTATCCAACCATCAGCTGAATTACCAAGAAGAAATCCCTTGTTTGAACCACCGTATATAACATTAGAATTTATCACATTAGTTTCCAACTCCCTTTGGTGCTTAGCCATTTGCTTTTGCCTCATATTGGAATTAATATTTTCTGAAGCAACCACATTTGTCTCTTTCACTACTTGTCCAGGCATACTTTGTTCACTAAGATCCTGAGAACTAATATCCATGAACAAATCTGGAGGAGGTGATGCACCACTCTCCAATAAAACAGCATGCAATTTCTGAGCAAACTCCGGGTCCTTTGCTGCGCTAATAACATACTTCGACACATTTTTAACCTTTCTCTTTTGTGCTGATGAAGGTTTTTCATGAATGCCAGAAAAGCTATCACTATAGTTAGGTGCTGAGGAAAGAAGCTTCCCTAACTCCTGTTCAGTTCTCTCAGCAGCATCTCTTCTGGCAAGGCCCCTTCCATCTTCATTTGTCTGACTGCTCGCAAATTCAGCTGCCCTCATGGCACCAGTTTTAATTCCCATATTTAGAGCAGCTGAAGCTGCCAAATTTTCAATTTCTTTGTCAAATACCAAACACGAACCTTGAGAGGCTTCATTAAAGCCCCTTACATCCAGTGCAGACCTTAGGAGCTGACAGCTTGGTACTTCAGCAGGAATCAGTGTTCCGGGAGCACCCATCAGATCGATAATATATTCACTGCATTATTTCAGATAATCGTACATCATCAAAACTTGTGGCAACACAATATAAAAAATTTCACATTGGCTTGACAACAAAACTGCATAAAGCAGAAGACAGGATGGCACTAAAAAAATAAATAAACAGATGTGTATTTAGCATAAAAGGGGAAAAATATCAACCTAATAACTGGTTCGGACAATTTTTTTAACTTGTATGACAACATGCTGAGGAAAGTATTAGAGAAAAAAGACCCCAATGTGCACAAATTCTAGAAATGCAATGATTGGTTAGTAAAATCAAAGAATAATTTCTAGATGCCAGCAGGAGGATACTACCTTCCATTGTTGATTCTAACCAAGTTCACTGCTCCATCGTCTGTACCAGTGTAATAGCTCCCTTTGACTAGCATGCATGGGAGATTAATTCTATCAGCTAGAACCTAGAAGCGGAAGCAAGAGAGAATTTCTCTTAAAAGGCACACACACATTTATCACCGATTCAGGGTAAAATGCAAAAAGGGGCAGGATAATCTGACTAGCTAAAAAGAAAACACACTCCTTTCATGGGCTAATTTTAACATTATGGAAATAAGATGATTTAAAACCTTAAACAGCAGGGCTCTGTGGCGCGAAAGTCCAACATCAAGTCTTCCCAATGGAAGAATGATATTGTTAAGAGAATTCCGTAACTCATAACTTCTCAAGGTCCACATTCGCAACATTTCTTCAGCACCAGCTACTGGCCCACCCATTCTGTTGACAACCATTTCTGCAATTTTCTGAATCAAGTCACTCAAAAACAGGCCATGGCCTAAAGCTAGGGACTGCACATATATGTTATACACTCTTTTCTCAAGTGCTTGCAGTTCAGGATCAAGCAACCGGTTAACCAAAATTACTTCATAATCAACCTTTTCTGACACTGATACTGCTTGAAGATCAATCAAAGATGGCATCTTCCCTTCCAGACCAAGGGATGAGGCAATCCCATACACGTCATAAAATCCATCCACAATTTTTTCATTATAGTTTACCACATTATAGTTCTGCAAATAACACACAACATACGAATCAGTTTTCCTCAAAATAAAAAAGAAGAAAAAAAATCAACTAATGAGTCCTGGCACTTGTCTCACAGGTGACATGAACAGGAACCTTTCAGCATGTACAGCTAATCTGAGGAAAGGCAAGTGATTTAATAGTAAAAAAATCCATAATAAAAACTAATATCAACTAGTATTCATATCCTTATCAGCATTTCCTAAACAGTATTCTACTGAAATAATTGAACCAGAAAAATAAAATAGAATCATAATAACAGGAAAGGCAAGTGCAACACTAGCGTTCCCTACTAATGAAACAGGAAATATATAAGTTCTCAAAAAAACATTCATGTAAAGTTTCTGGCAAGATACCTTAAAGAAAAAAGAGCTTCCCAATTAGCTATAATTAAAAAGGTCTCTGGCATAATATAGCAGAGCTTAAAGATGAAAGGAAACGTTCAAATAATAGAAACACACCCTAAAGCTGGCAAGTGACCGGCAAAACTTCAAGTAGTAAAGATGAGCAATTATAGGATAAAATCAATGAAAACCAAGAAGAATGTGTCAATGCTATATTTAGCATAACTTCAATTAATAGAAGTAGCAGGATTAATCAAGCTTGACATGCAAATCAAAAGCATCTGTACGGAGAAACAATAATAAGAAATTTTTAACAGTTGAGTTTTTTTTTATCAGAATCAATCCATGAATAATGGAGAACACAAATGGAAAATAAATAGACATACTAGAAATCATTTAATGAGAACATATGAAATGCGACCAAAACATATAAAAGTAATAGATATAGTGGCATTATCAACAGAATAAGGAGGAAAAGGCTGTTGGATATTAAACCGATTCAAACAAGAACTGAAATTCGGATAACCTATAAGTGAATAATATAATATTTTTTCAAATATATTTGTAACAAGAAATCACATATTACCCGATAACGAATCGAGAGTAACTCGACAAAAGCGTTGGCGTCGGAGCCGGCGCCGGCGAGGCTAATTGTTTTAGCAGCGTTGATCTGAGCCGTCTCGGGATCCGAAGCACTGATCGCCAACGCCAACTGCAACTGAAACTCTTCTTCCAATAAATTAAAATCCACTTCATCCCCAGCCGTCCGATCTCCCCCGATCGATTCAACGACCCCGATTCTCCCCATTGTACCCGAACCAATTGAAGACGCCGAAGAAGAAGAAGTTCCTTGTCCCGTCACGTTAGGACTCGGACTCGAGCTGATCACCGGCTGCACTTCCGCCAATCGTTGGTGCTCATTTAAACCACCGCCGATGTGGAGTTTCCGCAAGAGATGCTTCATTTTCGGCATCGATCATCAACGACGACTTCTTTTCCGTTCGCCGCTTCTTCTTTCGATCTCTTTCTCTCTCTCTCTCTCTCTCTCTCTCCTTCGAATTTTTTTTGTTAAAAATTGTATTATTGTTATATCGGTGTTTTCTATTTTTTATTGAATTCTATCTGCAGTCTTAACCTACGCCCACTAGTTTAAAAGCATATTCGCTTAACCTGCGCACTCTTCTCCGCTAAGCTACCCGTAATTGAAAAGACTTAAATTAACCGCTCACCCATTCCCTCCAATTCACACAAAAATAATTTTAATTAATTCTACTTCTTCCGTTACTGATACTATTTGTATACATTTAACATCTTGCTATTAATGCTATTTAATGTGTATATAATTTCGAGTAAATTCGGATTATCTTATTAATTTTTGGTCTATTTGTCGTTTTGTTTCATTAATGTGCTGAATTTTCGAATCTAGTCTATTTATTTTAGTTTAGTATAATTTGATCCCTAATTTTTAATATATTATTACGTTTAAATCAACAACATTGTTCATTATTGTTAAATTGATGAGGTAGACTTTTTTTAAAATAATCTTATTGTTAGACTAAATAATTTATTATTAATTAGTTAGGGTATATTATATTTTTATATATCATTAAATGTTTTATAAAAAAATAATAAAATATCAAATTAAAATGAAGGGATTGAATCTAAAATTTAGTTAGGGTAAAAAAATCTAGTGCTATAAAAATTAGCTGACTCTATTCTCATATGTAATGGGGTAAGGGGGAGGTAGGGTAGTAGGTTGCCTCCAACGTCAGGTTGAGAGCAGCTTCCGTAGAAGATCTCCGTTATGATAATTTTACCTAATATATTATATAGTTCAAGTATGGAAGATAATTCATAACCCTTTGAATATAACTTCTTAATTTTTAATTTAATGTATGAACCAACTTATTGGTGGTTAAAGGAATCACTGTTGTTCCTAGAGGCCACAGGTTCAAGCACTAACGGCTGTAGCAGCAGGGTGATAGAGCGTTCATTGTCAATAAATATATTTTTTATAAACTCAAAAATTAAATTTATTTATGTTATTTTTAAGAGTAAATTATAATGACAATCTCTAAATTTTTAGAGTGTTTTTAATTTAATCATTTGATTTTTAAAATTTAAATTAACATGGTTGATCCTCGCTAAATATTATTTATATTTTTTTTTCAAATTTTTACTAATAAAATAATGATATAAATATTATCTTATTAAAAGATATTAATTTATTAAAAAATAATATATAATATATTAAATCAACTATTGTTAATAATAATTGACGAAAATAACTAAAATGAAACTAAATTAAATATTAATAATTCTTATATAAATTTTAGAAGTCCGAATGATGAAATTGCAAGCAGACTAAAATTTTAGAGGTATTTGCCATTTTTAACTTATTAAACAATCCATTCGTGCATCCCATCAATTACTTGCACATGCATTTTACTTATTTATTAATTAAATTTTAAATATATTTTTGTGGCGAATAGCCTTCGATCCATGAACTGTCAATTGCTTGACCAAAATAAATAAAATTTGTTCTAATAATTAATTAAAAGAAGAAGTTTAACTAACAAAATTGTTTATTAAAAAAAAACAAGTTGGAGTTGTAGTTTGAGATTTTGAGAACCTTCCAAGAAGAAACTTTTCTAATGGGTTAAAAGAACATTTCATCCTTAAACTCTGTAATATTTTCTTAGGTTTGTCCTGGAACTTATTGGAGCACTATTAGTCTGAGCTTGGGATTTGTTTTTTTCATGTTTACCACATGTCACAATGAGATTGTGCTACAACATTAGAATGAGAAAATTTATCAACTTGCAAACGATTGTTGTGGATTAAAAATTATTTATGGGATCAATTTAGAAAATATTTTTAATTTTAAGGACTAAAACATGTTTTATCCCTTTTTGTAATATATTGACTTGCGGAACAAGCTGGCAAACAACGGCATGTGCCTCGAGGCTTGCTAAGGTTGCTCCAACTCCCATAGTCCCATTCCCACATAATATGTTTTCAGGTTAAGTTTAGCGGCGGCGCAAAACAATATTGTTTAATTAATCAATGTTATTTTTATTTTTGAAATTCTTTAATAAATATTAAAATTAATAAATTGTAATATTTTCATTTTTGTGAATATATACTTTTTACATAAATTGTTTTTTTCATTCACATTGAATAAACTTTTATTTAAAATTATATGAATGCGTTCGTGATCCAGAAATTGTTGCACAAATTTTGCCACCTAGTCGATGCAATTATACCTAATACCTAACTTTACGAGTTATGCACAATGCGCATTAAAATAATTTGAATTTTTAGGATAATTTTTCTACGCTCGACGAGCACAATAAGTATTATTAATTTAATTTATAAAAATTTAAAATTCTAAAAGATTTAACGTATAATTATAAATTAATTAAGAAATTAAAAGGTAAATTATTTAAAATAAAGGGTAATCTATACCAGTAATCACCTAACTATTGTCCCTTTTTATTTTAACCATCATTTATGAAATTTTATCAATCATGTCACTCAACTATTTAAATGCATTCTATTAAGTCATTTGTCATTAATATTTAATAGAGAAGCTCATGTGGCAGTATAATTACACATTTGGTCACTATTACTTATATATTCTATCAATTTGATACTAATTGTAATAAATTAAAATAAAAAAGAACTGATTTTATTCTTTCATATATAATAATGATATATACATGGAGTATTATTTAGCCATCAATCGTGTCTTTGCCATTATCAATTCAAGCACTATATCTTTCAACATATAAATATTGATTCAACAACAACTTTTATATTTATTTTAATGTAATATGTATATTTTTTACTTTAAAAAATTATTAGAAATTATACCGCCACAAAAAAAATATGATAATAATAAAGAAAGGAAATATATAATAATAAAAAAGATATCATTTTAAATTATTTAATTTTCTGGATTCTGGGATGTGGTCAAATGGTTGAGAGTTATCTTAGAAAATATATCATCTTGTACTTACTCTAAATTAATATGAATTTTAAAAGCTTTTTCTTATAACATGTAAATAAAGTTTCTCAACTAAAAAAAGATTAATTATGTATTTAATCACTTAAATATAACTTTGGTTTGGTTAGGTTATCTAATTATTTGTTTTTTCAAAATATTCACTAATGTTAGGTTTTGATTTCGTTTTGATAATCTATTGTTAAAAATTACCATAACTATTGACTTGAAATTTTTTATTTTTTCAATGATGATTTGGCATTATCTTATGGTGACATGTTAACATCACCGTTAATTTTTTAACGATTGTTGATCAAAATAAAATAAAAAATGTAAAGTTAGTGATTATTTTGAAAGGGAAAAAAACAAATAGTTTGGTGACTAAAACGAACCACACGAATAATTAGGTAACTAAATATCTAAATTACCCTATTTTTTATTCAACTTGAATTTTTGCTACAATTCTTTTTATAAATTCTATCCTAAAATCAATTCTTTATTTTTTATACTTTAATCAAGAATTTATTCTCAAAATACTTTTATAAAAAAATAAAATTATAAATATATCTAATGATTTTATATAATATTTAATTTTAATAAATTAAAATAAGGACCAAATTGATAGAATATATAAGTAACAATGACCAAATGTGTAATTATACCAAATATTTTAACCGCCACATCAATTTCTCCGTTAAATATTAGCAGCAAGTGGTTTAAATGGATGTATTTAAATAGTTGAGTGACCTAATTGATAAAATTTTAAAAATGGTGGTCAAAATGAAAAAGGATAATAGTTATGTGGTCATTAACACAATTTACCATTTATTTTATATTTTTAATTGATTTATAATTATATATTTAATCCTTTAGAATTTAAATTTTTTACAAATTAAATTAATGATACTCATCGTTAGTGGTACTTATCGGTGCTCGTCGAGTGTTGTAGATTTTTTTTCAAATTTTTATTAATATATCTTTAAAATTTTAACCACAATATAATATTATCTCTTTGGTTATTTTACTGAAAATAAAAATATAACATTGGTAGGATACGGAGGATAGGCAACTGAACTGAATTAGAAAACCCGTAATTTGACGAATGAATCCAACTTTAAAATACTCAATTGGTATTCTGGATAAGCTTTTGTTTGGATTACTCAATTTGTATACACGACTTTATACCTGTCAATAAATGTTTATGAACTAAATAAATTTAAAAAAAATTATATGTTTTGAGTTTAATTATAAAATATGTATATATTAGCATTTTTTTAGTTAGTTTTTAATAAAAAAAATTGATGAATTTAACATTATTGTGCTTGTATTTTGTGGCTTTTATTCAGCTGGGCCGATGGAATCATTTATTCTGAATCAAATTGTGGTTTGGACTTAATTGGTTCGAGCAAAGACAACCACCGCATAACCATAGCATGAGTTGCAATTGGCAACAACCTTTCTTTGGTTATTGAAGCAGATTAATTACGCCAATCAAATGAAAGTCACAGCTTAGATGAGCATATGCAAATAGTGGAATAGTTTCTGTACATGAACATGAAAAGATGTTGGTTTCAATGTCAACATAGATCAACGTCAACATAGATGAGGACTAGGCATTAGCTGCCGCCTCCTCTTCGACCATCTGCGATACCGGAAGAAGAGTGCAGATGACATTACGGTCGCCGTATACGTTGTCAACACGTCCTGATTACAACAATGCAAAGAGTTCAGTTGTGAGGATAACTAAGCAGGCTAAGAAAAAATATGCAAATTCATGCTCGAAATACGAATTCAATTTTATGCCTAGAGCCAATTTAATATCGTAGAGGTTACGCGAAAAAGTATCGAAAAGCTAATCAATTACATGACCATGACGAGGTTGTTCGTACGTACCCGTAGTAGGCCAGAATTTAGCAGTTCGAAGCCAGGGCGCAGGGAAGGAGGCGTGTTCCCGAGAGTATGGCTTAGTCCATGCATCTCCCATGAGCACATATGGTGGATGAGGGGCTCCCTGCAAGCAAATATAAAGCTCATGGATAAAATCTCTGTTTGCAGCTGTATACTTATCGAACAATAAATATTTTGGCCCTCGTTTGAAAAAAGGGAAATGAAAATGGTTTCGGAACAAGCCATTTCACCTTGAGAACATTGTTGTGGATATCAGCCTTTCCATTCTCGATTTCAGCAATTTCTTCTCTAATGGAGATAAGAGCATCACAGAACCGATCCAGCTCAGCCTGTAACAGATATCGAATACAGGTATCAGAGAGAAAAAAGATGGATATTGAATGTTTGTTGAACATTGGTGAAATCATACCTTGCTTTCACTTTCGGTAGGTTCAATCATGAGCGTGCCAGGAACAGGCCACGACATTGTAGGAGCATGGAATCCGTAGTCCATAAGACATTTGGCGACATCTTCAGGCTCAATTCCAGCAGTATTCTGCAACGACGGTTGGTTTGCAATCAGCCGAGAACACAAACAAAAGACTACAAAGAAAGAAAGTTCAAAAACTGTGTACTATAATCACCTTAAAACCTCTCAAGTCTATAATGAATTCATGAGCAACCGTTCCATTAAATCCGCGGAAAAGAACGGGGTAGTGTTTCTGAAAACACAAAGCAATTAGTATAAGAGGAAAACGAAAAAGTGGATGCTATCCAAGGAGAAATAACTCATAAACTTGTGCTAATAATTATTAGTCATTTTACTATAATAAATACCGATTTTCTACCAATTATAAGCACAGAGTTTCAAGGAGAAAAGGCAGGTACCTCCAAGCGTTTAGCCATGTAGTTTGCATTCAGAATAGCTATCTTTGAAGCATCAGTGAGACCCTTAGATCCCATCATGGCTATGTAAGTGTACGATATCGGCAAAATAAGTGCAGAGCCCCAAGGTGCAGCAGAAATGGTACCAAGAGGGTTAGATTTGTCTGGTGCTGGGATACCTCCCGTAGGTACCTACAGTACGTTTACGAAGAAAGCAACATTGGGTAGGAATATCTTGTGGCAGAGAAATCAACCGCTAAATGCCGTTTGCAATGTAATGTAGTGGTAAATTGTAATCACAAAGTCATTGCTAATAACATGACGTGCTCAGAAGTACAGGTGCGATTATGTCTAGATTTATGATAAGGCTGATAGCAATCCCAATGATAAGAAATGAAATCCGGCACAAACAAACTTTTACGAAGCAATTATTTCTTATGGAAACTTAAAGATTCATAAAATGAACATGAAAAAAGATGAACAGAGGATATACCACAGGGTGTGAAGGCAAAAATGGTGCTAGATGCTTCTCGACACCAATTGGTCCCATGCCAGGTCCACCACCTCCATGTGGAATGCAGAAGGTTTTGTGGAGATTCAGATGGCAAACATCTGCTCCGATAAAACCCGGACTTGTCAAACCAACCTGAGCATTCATGTTAGCCCCATCCATGTAAACTTGACCTCCATTGTCATGGATTATTTTACATATCTCATCGATCCCTTCTTCATACACTCCATGTGTTGAAGGATAAGTAACCTGAAACGGAAAAACGATATTTTGGATTTGCAAGGGCATTTACCAGGACTTTGAGATGAATTGTAGCATTGAAACTAATCATTCATACCATAAGAGCAGATAACTTGTCCCTGTTAGCTTCAGCGGCTTTCCTTAGTTCTTCAACATTGATGTTACCCTTGGAATCTGTTCCAACGGGAACAATTTTCATTCCACACATGGCAGCACTTGCAGGATTTGTCCCATGTGCCGAAACTGGTATGATACACACATTCCGGTGATGGTCGCCCCTTGACTGCAGCATTTGTCGGGTTTATGCATCAGCATAATAAATAAAAAGAATTGTATTTGTGAAGGATCCCCTTTCTTTTAGTGAAGAGGAGTACAATCTGGTTAGTGTCACTTACCATATGATATGCACGTATAACCATTAGTCCGGCATACTCCCCAGCAGCACCGGCATTAGGTTGCAAAGAGAACGAGCCAAAGCCGGTGATCGTACATAATAGTTCACCCAAATTACTGAACATTTCCTAATAGAACAGAAAGCCATAATTCATCAATAAACTAGAGAACTAAATGTACTCTTTACTACATGAGATTAAAAACGAAATGTATCAACAAGTTCCAGATGAAGAGATGTTCACCTGATAACCCTGAGCCTGCTCTGGAGGTGAAAAAGGGTGTATATCGGAGAAATGAGGCCAAGTCACGGGCATCATTTCAACTGTAGCGTTTAGTTTCATCGTACAAGATCCCAATGGAATCATACTATGGCACAGTGAAAGATCCTTAGACTGTAATCTGTGAATGTATCGAAGCAACTCGTGCTCTGTGTGATACCTGAAAAGAACAAAAAATAAAAGTTAGGGTAACACATTTGATTTGTTTGCTACAAGTAGCTCGTCTTTTTATGACCGTTTCATACGTGTTAAATATTGGGTGTGTAAGATATGGGCTTTGTCGTTCTGTTCCGGAAGGAAGTGCAGTCTCGGCCTCAGGTGCAAGAGATGCAGCAGTGAATGAGACCTGAAAGTTAGATGAAGGCTAAAAAGGCAAAATAATACAAATGTAGACATTATTATCATGAAAAAAGTTACTACCACTTACTGGTTTTCCACCGGAAAATACTTTGAAAAGCTTGTCCACATCTAAAAAAGTCGCTGTTTCATCAAATGAAACAGTGATCTGCAAATCAACCATGTTCCGGTAATCACACTGTCATAACCATTTTTTTAGGTAAAATAATTAAATATTATTTTAAAAACGATTATGACTTTAATTTTGGAAAAAATGGGTGATTTTGAATTGATTTGAATAAAATTAAAAAGAGTCGCCAGCAACCTTTGGGTTAGGTAGGTCGAATACCTAAAAACGTCTTTTAAAACAATTTTAAGAAAAATCATTTTTTAAGACAAGATTCGGTCTGCGTTACCAAAGATTCATTTAAATGGATTCGGGAGTCGGTTACGTGCGGGGAAGGGTAAACACCCCCACAACGCCCAAAATTGGTACTGTGTCGCTTACACATCGTTGTAAATGGTGGAATTTATGAGTCGAATATAAAGTTAAAATGTGATCTATTTATCGAACGTTGATTAATTTGCTTCGAATTAAATAATTAGAGAAAATTCTTTAACTCGAAAAGAAATCTCGAAATTAGCAATCCTTCATCGGGAAAGCTAACTCGACTATTTCTCATCCATAAAGAATATTTCCCTCTTGATAAAATGTGAATCGAATATAAATAAAATTGACGTTTGCATACAACAAAATAAATTGATTAACTAAAAATGTGAATTGAATACAAATGCAAATTTTGAAATTGACATTTACATAAAATAAAATAAATTACTATTTAAAATAACACACATTGCATCATTTGCACAAATTAATTAGTGAAATATACTCGACTTGTTGCAAGTTCCTATGTCGTTAAAATGCCGTATCGGATCGCACCACTTCGACCAAGTGATACTTTCCACGCTCATTCTACGCATACGTGTTCTTAAAAGTATTTGGACAATATTTAAATAAGAAAAATGGAAATAAATAGAAATAGAAATATGTGAAATAAATATTTACAACAATAAATTAAGCATATTTAATTACATATGGTACAAATAAATACATAACATGAAAAATGTACATACATAGGGGATTAAAAGAATGTTACAACCCAAAATATAATGGTCAAAAAGTAAGTATTTAATAATTACAATGACTAACATGGTAATAACAAATTAAAGGGCTAAAACAGAAAAATAGAAAATTAAAAGACTAAAATGGCAAAAATAGAAATGTAGGGACTAAAATAGTAATTAAACCGAATGCAAACTAGTGACTAAAATAAACAGATTTACAAATCTTAGAGTCAAATTTGAACATCAGCCAAAATATACAATATACAAAATCAGTGACTAAAATGAAACTAATACAAACATTGTGGCCAAAGTAAAATATGAGTATAATAATATAACATGGGTTAAAATGTAAACATGCAAACATGGCAAACCATAACGCAAATAAAATAAAATAACTAAGCTTTATAGACAAGTGACTAAACTGTGTAAATTGAAACTACAGTATCAGAAACATAAAATAGAGAAACTAGATTAATCAATGGCTACAATAAAACAGAACAAATCAGTGGTCAATTTTAGAATAAACAGAAACTTAAAGATTCATACAGTAATTATACCAAATACCAAACAGTGACTAAATATAAGAAACATAAATATCATGGCCAAATTCTAACATTCACAAGAAAAACAACACATAACCAATGACTAAATTGAAATAATTATAAATACTATGGCCAACGTTCAACATTAATAATAATAATAAAACAAACAAGTACCAGACCAAATACCAATATTGAAACATTAAGGCTCGAAATAAAATAAATATAATTTTATTTAATGACTAAACCGTGAGGTTACAAAGCAGAAAGGACTAAAAGTGGGATTATCCCTTAATATGAAAACACGGAAACCCCTTTGGCTTAAACGACGCCGTTCTGGTCCACGTATAAATGACCAAAATCAGGCCAAAATTCGGTCTATGCCTCATTTCTTTCATTGCTTAAAAACAGAGAGAGGGAGAGAGAGAAAACTCTCTCAACCTTCTCAACGGAGAAGAGATTTGTCCACCGCCGGCTACGCCCGCGGCGGTGCTCGCGGCGGCGAACGGTGGCCGGAGATGGAGAAAACCCTCCAAAACCTTCCTCTCTTCACTCTCCACCTAGATCCCCAACTATCTCGACCTAAAGGTAACCCTAGCTCTCTAAATCTGAGAGTTTTACCTTCGAAAGTTTTGACAACCGACGACCGTCGGGCTTCTCGACCTCCAAACCGTGGTGAGATCCTCTCCTCTTCTCTCTTTTTTTTTTTTTTTTATTTTGGGTTCGAAACTCTCTGGATTTTTATTTCCTACCCCCCCGAATCCTTTTTCCCTCGCATGCTATTTTTTGCTTCATTTATCCTTGATTTTTGGTAGGAATAATGATATCTATGTATAGGGGACAATTTTCCCGATTTATCGGGATTTTAGGTATTATTTTAATGGGTTTTGGATTTGATTTAATTTGTGACTGATTTGGGTGATATTTTGCATTGTGGATGACACTGGCGACGTGGGAACGGCGGCTGGACCATCGGAGTGGGCCGGAACAGTAACGGCGGCGTGGCATCCTTTCCTCTGTTGGGGCGGCGGCGAGGGGAAGCTCGGCTGAGAAGCTGGAATGTCAAGCGGCGGCGGCTGGGAGACCAAACGGCGGCTGAGCTAGGGTTAACTGCATTTAGGGTTTAAAAACCCTAAATGCAATCTGGGATTGGTATTGGGCCTGAACCGGGTCTGGGCTCCAAGTCTTGTAATTCTGGGTCGGGCTTGGTATCTGATGGGCTTCGGGTTTGAGCCTGCAAAAATTTGTAATATATTAAGAACAATAAATAAGCATAATAATAATAATAATAATAATAATAATAATAATAATAATAATAATAATAATTATAATTACAATTAGATAGAAAAGACTCGGACAAAAACGGGTGTCTACAGCTGCCCCTCTTTGCACATTCTTGTGTTAACAAGAATAGGGCAAAGACGACAAGACATCACGTTTTTGTCTGGTTCTCTCCCTTTTAAACTTAGAAATTGGATAATGTTGGTTGTTGGGGACGACACTGCTCATACATGATGAAGAGTTCTGGTCGTCTAAAGGAAGGGCGATAACACGGTTCCTACGTGATGAGGACGGCTGGTTAACTGTGGTTGACACGGCTTCTACGTGATGAAGAGATCTGGTCAGGGTATGACACGAATCATACGTGATGAAGAGTTCTGGCCATCTTTAGGAAGGGCGATAACACGGTTCCTACGTGATGAGGACGGCTGGTTAACTGTGGTTGACACGGCTCCTACGTGATGAAGAGATCTGGTCGGGGAATGACACGGCTCATACGTGATGAAGAGTTCTGGCCATCTAAAGGTGATAACACGGTTCCTACGTGATGAGGATGGCTGGTTATCTATGGTTGACACGGCTCCTACGTGATGAAGAGATCTGGCCATCTAAAGGTGATAACACGGTTCCTACGTGATGAGGACGGCTGGTTATCTATGGTTGACACGGCTCCTACGTGATGAAGAGATCTGGCCATCTAAAGGTGATAACACGGTTCCTACGTGATGAGGATGGCTGGTTATCTATGGTTGACACGGCTCCTACGTGATGAAGAGATCTGGTCTGGGGATGACACGGTTCCTACATGATAAGGACGGCTGGCCATCTTTAGGAGTTATGGTTTCAAGAGAAACCAAATTAAAGATTTGTTTCAAAAGAAACAAACCCAAAGATTTGTTTCAAGAAAAATAAACTCAAAGATGATATTTTTAAAAGCAACTATCTCAAAAGAGACAAAATTCGTTTAAAGGGAATTGATCTCAAAGATCAGTGTTTCGAGAGAAACAAACTCAAAGATGTTTTTGTTTCAAGAGAAAATGTTTCAAGAGACAAAATTCGTTTCAAGGGAAACGACTCAAAGATGACATTGAAAGGAAATTGTCTCATGCGAGACAAAATTTGTTTTGATAGAAACGATCTCAAAGGTGGGTATTTTCAAAAGAAGTTGTCTCGAGAAATTTTTTTCAAAGGAAACAAACTCAAAGATTTTTTCTCAAAAGAAATTGTCTTTAAGAGATAAAATTTTGTTTCAAAAGAAACAGACTCAAAGATGGATTACATCTTAAGTGAGACCAAATTTGTTTCAAATGAAACAATCTCAAAAGTTAGTTTTTCATTAGAAACTGTCTCAAGAGAGACAATATTTGTTTTTAAAGAAATAGACTCAAAGATGATTTTGTTAAGAGAAACAAACTCAAAGATTTTCAAAATGAACATATTCAAAGATTTACTTCAAGAGAAACTGTCTCAAGAGATACAAAATTCATTTTAAGAGAAACAGATTCAAAGATTTTTTTTTTCAAAAGAAATTATCTTAAGAGAGATAACATTTTGTTTCCAAAGAAATAAACTCAAAGATTTTTTTTTTTGTTTCAAAAGAAACAATCTCAAAGATTTTTTTCACAAAATTGTCTCAAGAGACAAAACTTTGTTTCAAAATAAATAGACTCAAAGATTTTTTCAAAAGAAACAACTCAAAGATATTTATTCAAAAGGAACAAACTCCAAGATTTTTATTCAAAAGGAACAGACTCAAAGATTTATCTCAAGAGAAACTGTCTCCAGAGAGACAAAATTCGTTTTAAGAGAAAAAGATTCAAAGATTGTCGATATTGTTTCTAGGGAAACAATCTCAAAGGTGTTTATTTTTAAAAGGGAAACTGTCTCACGCGAGACGAATCGATTTTGAAAAACTCAAGTGATATTAATTTTGTTTCAAGTACAACAAATTTAAATTTGTATCTCAGAGAAAAATGTCTCAAGTGAAACGAAATTTGTTTCGAAATAAACAACAATATCAAGTGAGATTTTGTTTTAAGTGAAACAAATTCAAAATTAGTATCTCAAAGGAAAAATGTCTCAAGCGAGACGAAATTTGCTTTAAGATATAGTCTCAAATGAGACAAAATTTGTTTTTAGAGAAATTGTCTCCAGCGAGACAAAGTTTGTTTTTGAGAAAACAATCTCAAGTGAGATCAACTTTGTTTAATGTGAAACAAATTCG